GATCGGGACACAGCTGGGATACAGAGTTAATAAAATGTAACTGATAAGAAAAAAATAAAATTCAAAAAAAAGATATTAATATAAATATTTTAGCCTCCATATTATATTTAATGTCCATGGCTAATGCAGTGTTAATGTATACAAACAATAAACTAAAAAATGAAAAAGAGTAAATACTTATATAAGAAAATACCCCAAAGTAATAAGTAAAAGAATAACATGATACTGAGTCAACAGAATGACAATATGGAAAATACAGTTAGATTCAGAATTTATACCAAGTTCAGGAATTATTCAATATATATGAGCAAACTAAATATGAAGGGTAAAATTAAGTATGACTTATTCATTCACTAGGAACTTTTATTCCAAATATATATATATATATATATATATATATATATGTATGTATGTATGTATGTATGTATGTATACATGTATACATGTATATATTGCATAGAAATACATTAAATTAAAAAATTATATGTATTTATAAGGGTTGACAAAGTATGAGAATATATTTTAGAGACATGAGAATCAAGTTCTAGGTGTTGCAAAGGAAAGTGGTAAGGAAGAAATGAGGGCTAGAGTGAATGTTGTGATGTTTGTATCTAAGTCAAAACTACAGAACAAAATCAAGCCTGACAGTATATGCATAAAAAGAAAGATCTAACAGCATTTATTCTTATGAATGTGTGTAGAAAATGTGTAATTTTCTACTGTTACCCACCAAGAGAATAAAAATGAATGGCAATGAATAGTAATGAATGCACCTGTGGCTTAGATCTTGAATTCCAAATGTATTTCAAAAAACAAAAATACTAAAGAACTCAGTGTCCTTGAAGGATGAATAAATTTCAGTCCTGGGTCAAGATGTGCTAGAATTTTCTGAGGAGATAAAAATATAAATGAACCATGTTCTAATAAAACAATAGGGACATGGAAACAAAGGAAACAAATTATGAGAGACTCCTGTGGCTGAATGTTTCAATTGTGCAATACAATGAATAATGCCAATAATAGATTATGAAGTGTAAAACAAAATAATTGCTCATGGTCTTTGTTGATGCTAATAATAATATGCAAGCAATTGCTAGAGAAAGAGCCAGTGTACCTTATGGTAGAATTACAGTCAATATGCATAGAATGAATAATGGCAATACTGAGTGTGTTTGGAAAATAGAGCAGTAGCATATTTCACAGGCTTGACTTACTGATGATTCTGGAATAATGGAGAGGGGTATGCTAAAATACTTTTGCATAGTTTCACAGCACCTGCCACATTAAAACATATTAATCAGAAAAGGGGGAAATAGCACCTTTTAAGAGGAGAAAGCTGGGTGACAGAAGCATACTAACAATGTCAATATCATAAGCTGTAAGTTGGACTATGATGGTGCGGCACCGCATCCTCCTGTTGCAGTGTGCTGAAAGGAATTGCCTCACTGCTGTAATATTCTGGGCAAATGGATTAACAAGACTATAATAAAACCATTAGGCGAATACATTCTCAACGCACTCAGCTGGCCAGTGTTCTTTGTCTCTTTCTTTACATTAAAATGTAATTACAAGATTTTCCACTTTCTCATTGCTCCCTTCAGTCCTTCCTGTGGATTCCACCTTGCTCTCAATTGAGAGAGTTAATGGGATGTCTCCAACAAATCCCTCCACTCGGGGCTCACAGTACTCTGCAGAAGAAGCAGTGGTGAAGCCAGAGTAGATGGAGCATGCACAGGGACAGGACTTGTCTGCACCAAAATGGTGTCCTAGAGCTGAAGTGAGAAGGGACACATGGCCCAACCATAACTCACAAGCTATCTTTGACTGTTAGCCTCTTGCAAGCAAAAAAAAAAAAAAAAAAAAAAAAGTTTACTCTAAGTGTCATGGAAACTAACCAGTCTTAAGGGAAAGCTCCAAGTCCAGCAGTAGTGGATGTCCAACACAGAACAAACTCAAAGAGGATTGAGTTTGGAGGATCTTTGTCTTGTAATGCTGTTGGGACTTTTTTTTTTCTTTTTCTTTACAGGTCTTTTCATATATACTGTCTATGGCTTCCTGTCTGGGACTTTTATGAGATTCCTGTGTGGAAATGTGTGTCTCTGCATCTATATGCATTTCTTGTATGTTTTCTTTGGCTTTTTTCTTATTTGGTTGTTTTGTCATATACTAATTTGTTCATTTTATTTACTTTATTGTATTTTGTTTTGGTAATATTTCTCAGATTCATGTTCTCTAACAAGAGACAGAGTGTGATTGTGCATGGCAGGGGAGAGTAGGAGGAACTGGGAAGAATAAGGAGAGGGGAAACCCAAAGCAAAATATAATATATCAGAATATTTTTAATAAAAAAATCATTAATGAATCTTTTTTGTTATTGTTACACATCTGTATATGTATGTATTTGTGTAAATATGTGTATGCCTAATCATATAAATACATTCTGCTTAGAATGTCTAATATTTAGTCTTAACTTGCATGTGTATACGTTTGATTCTGTTTGTGTGTGTGTGTATGATTTAGAGCTGACCACTTAATCCTGAATAACTAGAGAAGACTGTTTTTTCCTCTATTAACTTAATAAGGGCATATAAAAACAACGTTGCAGGATGCTGGAAATTCACATGGTTAGATCTGATGATTTTATAGTAGCCTTGTGACAATGTTCTTCCAATTTCTCATAAATTAGGTTTTCAATGTTATTGAAATCCACATGTAGATACTTTTACTGTCTTTTTTTTTACATTTATTTACCTTTATTTTATGTGCATTTGGTGTTTTGAGTACATGCATGTCTATGTGAGAGTGTCAGCTTCTTGGAGTTACAGACAATTGTGTGTTGCTATGTGGGTGTTGGTATTTGAACCCCGGTCCTCTGGAAGAGCAGTCTTAATGGCTGAGCTATCTCTCCAGCCTCTATTGTCTCAATTTTAATTTGAAATTACTTTAAAACCCTAGGAAAATAGATAATGACAAGGAAATAATGAAATTTGCAGGCAAATGAATGGAACTGGAAAAGATCATCCTGAGTGAGGTAACATAGACCCAAAAAGACACACATGGTATATACTCATTTGGAAGCAGATTTTAGTCATATAGTACAGGATAAACATGCTTCAATGCACAGATCCCGAGAACATAAGCCTGATGGGTATCTTAGGTTTCAGGTAGGCTCACTAGTTGGGGAGTGAGGAATGTTTCTGACATGGACTATGTTGCCTACTTTTTGATCACCCCCCCCCCCCCGATGGGACTTCCCTAGAAGGCCATGGGGGAGGAAGATGAACTCAGTCCTCAAGTGAATAGATAAGCTGGGGTTTGTGGGTAAGGTGTTCCCCGATTCTTTTTTATTATCATTAATATTATTATCATTTGTTTTTATATTAATTACAGTTTATTTACTTTGTATCCCAGCTGTAGCTCCCTCTTCCATTCCCTCCCAATCCTACCCTCCTGCCTCATCTCCTCCCTGACCCTCTCTAAGCCCACTGATAGGGGAGGTCCTCCTCCCCATCCATCCGACTCTACCTTATCAGATCTCATCAGGACTAGCTGCCATGTCCTCCTTTGTGGCCTAGCAAGGCTGCTCTTCCCCAGGGGTGGGGAAGAGGAAGGTCAAAGAGCCAACCACTGAGTTCATTCCAGAGATAGTCCCTGTTCACCTTACTAGGAAAACCTACTTGGATAATGATATATACCATATATCCTCTATTCTTAAGAATAGGGGAGAGGAGATGTAGGAGGAAGGGCGAGACTGGGAGAAGAAAACAAAGGAGCCTATGACAAAGATGTAAATTTAATTAATTAATAAAAATACTTAGAAAATATACTCTACATCAGAAAGTATTTGAAATATTATGGAAATAGAACCCTTGTACTATAAGAAGAAAATATAGCAAGCAGAGTGACTTACAATTTTCTCAAAGGCCCAATCATTCCTTCATATACTAATTACATGTTAATTAGGCCTCTGACAATAAAAACAAACAAACAAACAAACAAACAAACAAAAACAAACTATTGTACATTGTGCCCATGTCCTGCCAGGGCAATTTTGAATGAATTAAAGTATTCATTATTACAAAAATAATCACATTTTAGATGAATAAAACAAATGCAGGGTTATCTCACAATAAAAAATGAAGGTTAAACAATTTTGAATAAATATACACAATTGGTTTTATTTATATAAACTGAACATACATTTAAGAAAAATAAATTACTATTCATAACATCTTCAAGCATATCTAAGTATATTTAAAAACATTTCTTATAATAGTTTCAAGAAAAATAATTTATACTATTAAATATATTATCCTCAGGAATTTTTCAGTATGTATATATTTCTTTTCTGTAAGATTTATTTTTTATATTTATACAGTATTCTGTCTGCATGTACACATGCATGCCAGAATAGGGCACCAGATTTCATTAAAGATGGTTGTGAGTCACCATGTGCTTGCTGGGAACTGAACTCAGGACCTTTAGGAAGAGTAGCTGGTGCTCTTAACCTCTGAGCCATCTCTCCAGCCCCAATTTCAATTAAAATTTTGGTAGACTTTATTTTGTTTATTTGGTTTTGCTTTAAAGTTCCTGTGAAAAACTTCTAGTTAATTGTGCTGTTAAATGAGAGATACAATCTTTAACAGAGTTGATTGCCTTAACTGACTTTGTCATCAGTACTTATGTTAACTAAATGTGCTCCATTATCATAAAATTAGAACTCTAAACTATTTTTCAACACCATCACTACTCTGATTTTTCTTAGTCTTCCAAACAATTTCATCAAAACTCCTCGCTAACACTTTTTATAGTACCAGTGGACAAACAACATTAAAAGCGTTTGGTTTTTGTCTCCTCTCAGACAGTGAGCTCTCAAAGACACTGACCACAGCGGCTAACAATCCTTAACCGTAAAATATGTAACATCCATTAAATATGAGATATCGACTGAAATAGCACCAGTGAAGTCAGCAAAATTCAAGAGTGATAACTCAGACTTACCTCCTATATCTGGACGAAGTTTGTTATCATAACCTTGAAGTAATGAGTTAAGAATTTGTGTGATATCTCCTTCGTGAATTTTTGGTGCCAAGACCCACGTTTTGTTCATAGTTAAATCTTCATCATCTTCATCATCTGCCTTATCAACACTAAATGATTCAAAGAGAATGTTGCATAGTAAAATTTATATAAAAATATGTATTTTATGAATATGTAAAGTACTTTAAAATTATTGCAACTTATAAGGTAGTATGAAAATAGGACAAACATATATATTACCCTAAATTGCATTAACATATACGGTAGTACTAAAGTACTAATTACATTAAATATTAAAACACAATAAACATGCTAAAGCAAATATTGAAATAGATAACGACAAGGAAATCATGAAATTTGCAGGTATTGAATGTACCTTAAACTTCCTACAACTTAAACTGATTATTCAATAAAAATATGAATATTGATCCCTGGATTTTTTGAGGTTATAATATAACCTAGAGCAGTATGTGATGACCTAATACTGACCACAGTAAATGATAGAAATTAAAAGTGAACAAACATGATGACAGTAGCCTAGTAAAATACGTAAAACACAAGTAGATTAAAATAATCACGAAACGTCTATGAAGATTTATAATAATTTCATTAAAGACCAAAGAACTAGACTTCCTTTTCGAGGACTTCATTAACGACTTTCTGATTATCAGATCAGGACAAGGGCACTTACTATATGTTTAAGAAACATGAAGAATGTGAGTACTAAATACTAAGAATTTGGGGCATGGGAGGACATGAAGGAAGGAGGATGAGAGTGGGAGGGAACGAGGGCTATAGCTAGGATACAAAGTGAATAAAGTAATAATATAAAAAATAAAAATTTAATTAAAAAACAATTGGTTGCTAAATGATAAATTAATACCACAGGAAACCAGCTAAATCATAAATCTCCTTACCCACGAAGCTGGGAACAAAACTGTAACACTCTAGGTAATATGTTAACAATTTCTGTCCCACCGATGTTCTTTTAAAAAAGATGGCTCAGTGGGTAAGAGCACTGTCTGCTCTTCCAAAGGACCCCGGTTCAATTCTCAGCACCCACATGGCAGCTCACAACTGTCTGTACTGCCAATTCCAAGGGATCTGACACCTTCACGCTAACGCACATAAAATGAAATAAAATAAAGTATTAAAAATGTTTATTGATTCTTTTTTCTTTTTAATTTTATAAACTGTTTTGTACAATTTTGCATATCAACAAAATAAAACACACTAATGATAAAACGACTCAAAGTCTATACACTCACTGAACTTATTACGGTTTGAATCATCTTTAAAACATAGGCCATGGAGATCCTCATTAAATTTTATTTTTTCAGTTATAAATATAGTTTGTGCATTCATCTGCCACCAAAACAAAAACTCCAAGAACTAGAAAAACAATAGTTTTATGTCCTTTCTCCTAACTCATGTCCACTGTCTCATTTAGTCTTTAAATTTAACTTTTATTCTCCTCTTTTCTTCATGTTATATGGTACCCGTATGTGCCTTTGCTTACATATATATGTAAAAACACACACACACACACACTTAAAATAAGCATAAGAATTCAGTCTGTTACAAAGTAAAGGTAGAGACATTCAAGTAAGAAATATATAGATGTAGTTACAGATATTTAGGTTCAGATGAAAATACAAAATAGAAAATAATGAAGTTTTTTTTTAAATCACACAAAACTTAACCACCCCATTCTTATTTAATGAAAATCGTTCTATACTTAGCTATAGATTGTATTGTATTAAGTCTTTAGCTATTCAGTGAAAAGAGCCCAGAACCTAAACCTAACAATGATAAACCAAAGGAAAGTAAGAAGGCAGACTTGGTCTGATCTTTGCTCTTTCATTTTATCCCTTTGAAGTGAGAATGAAATAAAAATAAATAGAATGTACTATTTGTACAAGCTCAAGAAATCTCCTCTTAGAGTCAGCAGGTAATTGCTAGACCACAGCTCCATGCTTCTGCAATATTATCACTATTCCAGTACATTATAGATGGGGGAACAGCCCCTAAGGGATGAGTTGATTTGATTCTGATCCCTTGGGAGATCTGAGAGTGTCACCATTGCTTCATTCAGCAAAGACAATGAAATGCTTTCATTGTGGAAAATTTAAAAATGTGGATGAAGGCTGTCCCCTACACTTTAAATAATGCAATAGCTATTACAAAGAATAAAAAGATAAACTTCCATGCACATTTAGCTTTTCGATTTTTATACAAGTATTTCATTGTTTGAATTGTTTTAGACGCATTTAGTACATTATCACACATCCTCATTTTGTTCAGTATATTTCTCTAAAATATATAAGTACATGTTTAGGAATACTAAGTCATTGAAAACACTGAAATTCTAGGAATTCAGGCTGGTGAGACATCTTGGAAAACTATTATTACGAGCTGGTAAACTTATAGTGGCTGAGGCACTGATAATGAACTCTGTTGGAGACCTTCCTTTCATCTCATAATCCCTGTTGCATGAAGGAACCATTTGGTGGATATGGAAGAGCCAATAATTATATATGTGGCTGACCTTCTCAGGAAACATGATTGTAGCCAGATTTCTCAATAAGTAAAAGGATTTCCACCTGTTTTGTATGGTAACAACATTTTTATAAACAACAAAACAAAACAAAAGAACACATTCACAATGACTTATGTTCCCCTTCTCCATGCAGCAGAAAAAACTGACCTTGGCAATACAGAGATATTGCTCTTCATTTTATCTCACAACAGAAAAGAAATTCCATTAACGCTAATTTCTCTACACCTTACTTTAAGCTTTCCAAATCAGTTTCAGAATATTTGTTAAGTATTTTAATATCATATTGGTCTTATTTGCCTAATTAAAATATCATTCTTTGAAACATAATTGTTACACTCTACTGGTTGTGTAGTTCTAATAAACAGAAGGGAGATTACTGTAAAATTGACATATATAAGGTAACTATTCATTTATAGGAGTTAAATATTCATTACTAAATTTGCTTTAGTAATACTGTAAGTTAGTTTGGACTAATTTTCAAAGAAGTCTACAAGCAATTTAAGTTCATGTAATATTAATCTCAATGAGTCTTTCAGTTTTAATTATATAAATTTCTTAATTGTCTATTATAATGATTGATGGTTTTATTATTATCATCAGCAATCATTTGTACCAAATAGCAATGGTTTTAAGGAACTGCCAATAAAGTATCTGGCAGCAGATTCTTTCACATGTTATGTCATCTAATCTGCCTGAATTCTGGACAAAAATATATTTACATCCCTATTTCTTACATAAGAAAAGGCTTCTTCCAGTCATAATGAGTCCTGATAGACTAAGGTTAGATGGAAGAGAAGAAGGACCTCCTCTATCATTGGACTGGGGAAGGGGTATAGGAGAAAAAGAGGGAGGGAGGGTGGGATTGGGAGGGGAAGGGAAAGGGGGATACAGCTGGGATACAAAGTGAATAAACTGTAATTAATAAAAAATAAATAAATAAAATGGAAAAAAGTAAAAAAAAAAGAAAGAAAAGACTTATTTTACAGGACACATCACTGGTTAAATAATACAAATAGGAAATTTTTTCTTTTCTAAAAATTTATATAAGCTAATTTTTTTTCTTCTGATGTTTCTCTGAATCACCTGTCTTATCTTTACTAAATGGTCCAGATGGTGGGATATGGATTTGCTACTTTGAAGAAGCATGACATATACGGTGTGCAATTATGAATCTTGTTGAATGACATAAGTTTAGAAAACGTCCTCACTCATCCTTTGGTTCCAAGAAGATAAACTAATAACCTCAAGGGATCACACTTCTCAAAGTGTGAATATCAAGGAATCCCATTTCTGTGAGAAAAAAACAAAAAAACTTTCTAAGGAGCTTGGTCTCCAACACAGTTTTCATTCATTTATGAAGAGATTACCATGTATTTAAAATGGGTGAGGTTCTGAAAATGCAAAGGTAAATAATGTGACATACCTTACCTAGGGAATATTTCTTAATACAGGGCAAATCTACTCAAACAGACTACATAGAAAAACACAGAACATGACAATGTGTATTGAATTAAGAAAGAGCACATATTTTAAATAATGTGAGTATGTTTAACAAATAATTAAGTATGCACATAGTAGATTGTTCATATCTAATCAATTAATGCTTATAAATAATTCGAAAATGGGGCTAGGAACTGAGCAAAAACAGCTGAGAATTGAAGCGCTTGCCTAACATGCAAGACATCGTAGAGCTTAATCTCCAGAACTACTTAACCAAGTCTATAAAAATACAATATTATGCTCACAATAGTATATGAAAATAACATTAAGCAATCTGTCATTTATGTAGAGAGTGATTCTAAAATTTGGTGAGAAAACAGGTAGCATACATACTTAATATTTTATACAAGAGAATCCATAGAAGTTTTCTCTATTTAATAGTTTTATACAATTTCCAATATATAATTTGTAATATTGATGCAAAGAAAGAAGCTAATATTGTATACATTACAGCCTAGGAATGGGCTGCTGCTTAATCTATACCTAGTGTTGTGGGTTGAATTTCTTTTTTTTTTAAGTTCAGAATTATTATTATTATTATTATTATTTACATTTTACCCAGCTGTAGCCCACTCCCTCATTCCCTCCCAATCCCACCTTCCGTCCCTCAGCTTCTCCCTGCCTCTTTCCAAGTCCACTGATAGGGGAGGACCTCCTCCCCTTTCATCTGACCCCTTTTTATCAGGTATCTTCAGGACTGGCTGCAAAGTCCTCCTCTGTGGCCTAGCAGTACTGTTCCTCCTTTGGAGGGTGGGAATGTCAGAGCCTGCCACTGAGTTCATGTCATAAATAGTCCCTGTTCTCCTTACTAGGTTTCCTGAACTATCATGGGCTACATCCGAGCAGTGAGTTGAATTTGTAATCATAAAAAAAACTAATAATTAAATGGAGCCTTTCATGGAGAGAGACAGAACATTATTCTGTCAACAACTGTCATGGCAGACCTCAAATTTTCTACTAGATTTTCTGGCGTGGGAACATTGCTCTCCAACCAATCCAACTGCAGGCACCTGGGAGCAGCCCAGACACTATACAAACTTTAGATACCAG